TTTGCCCGTGCCAGGAGCAGCAAAATGGGTGATCCTGCCTGGCAGCTCCTTCCCTCTGCAATTCAGCTCTCAGAAGCCTCAAATCCCAGCACCCAACGCTTCCCAAATTCCCAGAGGAACCTCACCAGAACCCCCAATTCCCAGCACTTCTCCCTCCAAATTCCCAGAGCTGCTCCCTCCCTCACCTGGCCAAGCAGAATTCCCAATTCCCTGCACCCAGAACTTCCCAAATTCCCTGAGCTGCTCTCTCCCTCACCAGAACCCCCAATTCCCAACATTTCCCAAATTCCCAGAGCTGCTCCCTCCATCACCTGGCAGCTTTTCTCCATCCCCAAAACCCCACAAGCTGCTGCATCAGCTTGGGGATATTCCAGCTCCTTCCTTCCCTCCCTCCAAATTCCCAGAGCTGCTCCCTCTCTCATCAGAACCCCCAATTCCCAGCACTTCCTTAATTCCCAGAGCTGCTCCCTCCCTCACCTGGCCAAGCAGAATTCCCAATTCCCATATTCCCAACATCCAACACATCCCAAATTCCCTGAGCTGCTCCCTCCCTCACCTGGCCAAGCAGAGACCCCAATTTCCTGCACCCAACATTTCCCAAATTCCCAGAGCTGCTCTCTCCCTCACCAGAACCCCCAATTCCCAAGATTTCCCAAATTCCCAGAGCTGCTTCCTCCCTCACCTGGCCAAGCAGAGACCCCAATTCCCATATCCCCAACATCCAACACATCCCAAATTCCCAGAGCTGCTTCCTCCCTCACCTGGCAGATTTATCCATCCCCAAAAACCCCACAAGCTGCTGCATCAGCTTGGGGATATTCCAGCTCCTTCCTTCTCTCCTTCCAAATTCCCAGAGCTGCTCCTTCCCTCATGAGAACCCCCAAATCCCAGCACCCAACACTTCCCAAATTCCCAGAGGAACCTCATCAGAACCCCCAATTCCCAACATTTCCCAAATTCCCAGAGCTGCTCCCTCCATCACCTGGCCAAGCAGAGCCCCCAATTCCCATGTCCCCAACATCCAACACATCCCAAATTCCCAGAGCTGCTCCCTCCCTCACCTGGCCAAGCAGAGACTCCAATTTCCTGCACCCAACACATCCCAAATTCCCAGAGCTGCTCCTCCTTCACCTGGCCAAGCAGAGACCCCAATTCCCATATCCCCAACATCCAACACATCCCAAATTCCCAGAGCTGCTCCCTCCCCTCACCTGGCAGATTTATCCATCCCCAAAACCCCACAAGCTGCTGCATCAGNCCAGCTGGGATTGTCCTTCCTCCAGGGATTTGTGGGGTTTGTGGTGTTTGAAGGGTCCTGGAATGGGGTCAGGCACAGGAAAAGGATCATTTGTTGCCAAATTCTGTTTTTATCAGGGCTTTTCCCTGCTGGATGTGCTGGGATCAATTCTGGGGTTTGGGGGGGTTCTGGAATGGGGTGAGATGCAGGGATAGGGTCATTTGTTACCAAATCCTTTTTCCATCGGGGCTCTTCCCTGCTGGGATCCATTCTGGGGTTTGAGGGGTCCTGGAATGGGGTGAGAAACAAGGAAAGGATCATTTGTTGCCAAATCCTTTTTCCATCTGGGCTCTTCCCTGCTGGGATCCATTCTGGGGTTTGAGGCGTCCTGGAATGGGGCGAGAAACAAGGAAAGGATCATTTGTTGCCAAATCCTGATTTTATCAGGGCTCTTCCCCTGCTGGGATCCATTCTGGGCTTTGAGGGGTCCTGGAATGGGGTGAGAAACAAGGACAGGATCATTTGTTACCAAATCCTGATTTTATCTCTTCTCTGCTGGGATCCATTCTGGGCTTTGAGGGGTCCTGGAATGGGGTGAGAAACAAGGAAAGGATCATTTGTTGCCAAATCCTGATTTTATCAGGGCTCTTCCCCTGCTGGGATCCATTCTGGGGTTTGAAGGGTCCTGGAATGGGATGAGAAACAAGGAAAGGATCATTTGTTGCCAAATCCTGATTTTATCAGGGCTCTTCCCTGCTGGGATCCATTCCGGGCTTTGAGGGGTCCTGGAATGGGGTGAGAAACAAGGAAAGGATCATTTGTTGCCAAATCCTGATTTTATCTCTTCTCTGCTGGGATCCATTCTGGGGTTTGAGGGGTCCTGGAATGGGGTGAGAAACAAGGAAAGGCTCATTTGTTGCCAAATCCTGATTTTATCTCTTCTCTGCTGGGATCCATTCTGGGGTTTGCCCAGGCTCTCTGGGGGGCAGTTGGTGCCTCCAGCACCTCCCAGGCAGGAGCTGCAGCAGCAAACTCTGCTCAGACCCAGAGTTTTTCCTTCCTGCTCAGCTGGAGCTGGCCTGGCAAGAGGAGATTTGGAAACATTCCCAGGAATGAAGGGACAGAAGGGATCAGGACGTCTCTCTGGTTATTGTTTTCCCTGGAGGTGCCAGCAGGTGTAAAAGTCCTTCCTCTCAGGGGGACAGGAGGGACCTGGTGTCCCTTTTGCCCGTGCCAGGAGCAGCAAAATGGGTGATCCTGCCTGGCAGCTCCTTCCCTCTGCAATTCAGCTCTCAGAAGCCTCAAATCCCAGCACCCAACGCTTCCCAAATTCCCAGAGGAACCTCACCAGAACCCCCAATTCCCAGCACTTCTCCCTCCAAATTCCCAGAGCTGCTCCCTCTATCACATGGCCAAGCAGAGCCCCCAATT